ATCTCTCACGTGCACAGTGCGTACTGTTACAGCTCGACATTCCCGAAACGCTTCTTCGACTCAATCTCGATCTGGCAAAAGCATTCGATAAGCCACAATCTGCCCCCTACTTTCCTCACGCTTCCCTCATATACGGCGACATGACGCTGGACCAAGCAGAGTCGCACATTGCACAACTGCGCGAAAGCGGTTGGGTCTCAACCGGCGCAAACGCTCATGCCAGTACTTGTTCTGTCGGAGATCCAAAAGTCGCAAAAGAAGATCGTTTGACACACTTGCAACTTGTCAGCATCGAGCTGTGGGACACCAACGGACCCGTGCAAGATTGGAAGAGATTAAGAAGTGCAAAGATCGACAGCTTGTATGCATGAAATGAGGAAGGACAACCTCGAGTGCACTGGGGCTGTGTGCGGGTGTTATGATACATCGAGTGGTGAACTTCAAGCCTTGCGTCGTGCCAAGTCTATCAACCCAAGACCATAGCCGGCATTCAGACCCACTTCTCTCGATAGGGTGACGAGCTCTCTCTAGGCCCAAAGTCGTCTCTACGCCCACGTGGAAAACGTCGTGACGCAAAGTCATCCCTACGTTGGCCAGACCGCTGAAACGAGCCAGTCTGTCCTCCGGCGACCGCGTCACTCTTGCGATCTTGCTCCCTCTTTTTCTCCAAAGCTGCCAAACGTCTGCTCCTGGCATACTTGATAGCTTCCAAAGTCCACGCGATCGCATTCTCCGTCCTGATCTTGATCTCGAGCGTCTGCTCGGCATATGGGAAGGCAAGAGGAAAGCGGAAGTGCAGCCAGGAGTACAGGGTGACGCATCGATGCAGGGACTCCAAGAGCTGCAAAGAGTTTACGTCCAAGCCTGGTGGCTCCATGTGCGCCGCAGAGGGCAGCGTGCGCTTGTCCTCCGAACCTTTTGCAGAAATACGAGCAACGACTTCTTCTGCTCTTCTTTGGCAACCCTCGGCATTGTCGAGCGCTTCGAGCATGTCCAGTCCTTGTTCGCCTTCCGCGACGCTGACCAAGCCTCCCCTACCAAATCCACGAACCAGGTTCCTTGCAAACGTCAGCACTCGCTCGTCCCTGCTATTGACAGGAGCTCGGGAGATGGAAAATTTGTCCAGGATGGGTATCGCAAAGCCTCGTGTTGCTTCCTCTATCATGTCTGCCAATATGTTCTCCTCAGCTTCGCCAGCGAGGTAGTATGTCGACGTGTCCACCCTAGCCAGATCTTTGAACGCAGTGAAAAGTTGGCTCAAGCTCGGCACCCCTTGGGTGATGTCGTACACTTCGCAGTCGAGAATCGCGTGACCTGCTGACTTCTTGTAAGTCTTCGTGAGGTCCGCATCCAACAATTTCTGTTCTTCTGTCGAGTTGAAGTTGACTACGGTGTTCTCGCTCATCGGATACTGTGTCGGGCTGACGTACGCCCTCCACACTTGACTATCTTCCCGGCCTGCTTCGTCGGGTCTGATTCCGCTGTACAGCTGATTCGCATAGATGCCTGTCTGCGGCACACCCATCAGGGTCGATAGCGCGGCCACTGCATCGTTTGTTGGACCAAGGACGGCACGCTCGATGGGCAGCAAAGGGGCTGCCAGTGCCTTTCGAAGAATCGGCAAATCGATTTCTTCCATTGTTGTGACTTCACCGCCGGCCTCTTCGCCCGGCGCACCAGTGCCGTACCGGCCCGCACGACCTGCAATCTGCTTGATCTGGGAGCCCGACAAAGACACCGTCTCTTTACCGTTCCACTTGTGCAGACTTTCGAACACAATGCGCTTGATTTTGCTGCATCACAATGATGATAAAGAATTAGAGGGTGAGATGTGGTCTCTGATGGTTGCCTGGTCGCAACTTACAGATTGAGTCCCATCCCGATCGCGTCGCTTGCCACCATGACATCCAAGTCGCTGTCAGGATCGTTGAACATCCGGGCTTGTTCCGCCTTGGTTTCCGGAGGCAGCGCTCCGTAAGCAATAGCACATCGCAATCCAGTCGTTTGCTCAATCTTCTCTTTGAGGGAGAACAGACCGGATCTGCTAAAGCTAACGACGCAATCGCCCTTCTTGATGTTTTGAAGGTCATTCGTCAAGCTCTTGTCGCTGACCCGGAGTGGCGAAAGTCGGTCGTATCGGTGCACTTCCACCTTATCTCCACATGAAGCCGCTATCCTCTCGATCAGTGACACTACGCTCGCTTCTCCGCACAGATGCACCTCTTTGGCAGGCACGCCGAGCACTGCAGATGTCCAAGCCGAACCTCTTGTGGTGTCCGCTATCATTTGTATCTCATCGATGACAGCGACGTCTATAAGATCATCAAAGCTAAGCATCTCCACCGTGCAAGCTGTCAACGATGCGTCTCTGACAGTTCTCCTCTCCTCGCCAGTGACCAGATTGCAAGGCCGAGCAGCAACACCAGGGCTGACTGTACCCTGGTTTATGCGATCCCACACTTCGTGAGCCAGCATCCTCAAAGGTCCGCAGTATGCTCCGTTCCTTGCGCTGCAAAGCGCCTTCAGAGCGCCGTGCGTCTTACCGCTGTTGGTGGGTCCAACATGCAGATGGAAGGTTCTTGTCATGCTTCTGGCAATAGGATACTCGAGCTGTGGGAAGCGCAGGTCGGTGGACGCTCGAATGGTCTCAAAATGCTGAGCCAAGTTGACGCATGCTTCTGCTTTCTTGCGCATGTAAATGGCTCGCAGAGTAGTGCTCGACCCTTCTTGCGCGTCTGCAACTGGCTCGAGCGAAGGTGGCGTGAATTGCTTGGATGGAAACTTTGTTGGGGATTGTAGAGACTCGGCAGGCGGTGGCTGACCTGCTTGTACATCGAGCTGAGCTGCAGCATCCAGCAAGTTGTCGTGTATCCTATCGATGAAGGCATTGACGACGATGTTCCGAATGCAGTGCTCACCCTTGAGGCTGTACGCCATCTGCAGAGATTTAATATCCCACGCGCGGCTAGCAGCAGAGAGGGTCGCCGATTCGGCCGCCCCTAGCGACTCTTGCGAAGCTGCATACTCCTCTCTTGCCGTTTTGACCTCCGACACTGCGATGGCGGCCCAGCGTCTGACGAGCGAAGAAGCGATGTTGGTATCGTCCCTGTCCGAGTAGTCGGAACCTGGCATCAAAGCCCTCGCGCCTGGCCCTCTTAATCCAAAGGTGATGGCTTTGTCTGCCAGCCATCCGGGTTGCTGCCGAGTCGCTTCCAAGTTGTTCATCAGCGCTCGCGTGACTGCCAAGATGGAAGGTGGCAAGGGTGGTGCAAAATCGGGCTCCTGCGCTGGCCTTTGCGCATAGGTTGGTCGCCTGGTCGGAGGATGCCTGTCTCTCCAACGAAATGGTGTGTTCTTTTGATAACCCGGTGGGGTCCGAGGATCTCGCAATGAATTCGCTGAGGTGTGAAGATTTGCATATCGCAGCGTGGGCAGTCTGCGCTCACAAGTAGTGATTCTTGAGCGCGGCGAGAGTGAGGAGAGCTGTCGACATTGACACGCACAAGCTTGCCGAGCATCACCGAGCGCGGCAGGAAAGCGTGAATCGAAGGGCGACGCATGAACAGACTTCGCCACGACCCTGAGCCTCGCGGCAGCAGATGCGACGCCCGTCATGATGAAGGATGACTCAATATCCGTTGATCGAAGACCCCAAAAGACTGCAAGAGGCTGATGAATCTGCCATAGAGGCGTGCTGAATGATCCAAGTTGATTGACGCTGGTGAATCGCCCACAGCTAAGGACGAGGGCGGGGGAGGAGGCTCCCGATGAGATTTTAAGATGACTGCATAGTGGATCACAGGTAAGAACCCGTCTTGAACATGAGCCTGCAAAGAGCGTTGTTCCGCTTTGTGATGATCGAGGTTACTTTGGAAGGGTGTGCATCCGCCGCGTACTCAAGGGCGTTCCTGACGGAAGTCACGAGTCGTGAGTGTTGGAAGCAGCGGAGAAGCTTATGAAATTTTGTCTCACGTGACTGGAAACTTCTTCTTCGCTCCCCCGTCACGTGTGCTCACGTTATTTGGGCCTGGAAATTTCGAAGCGGCGCGGGAGGTGCGCTTACCGCGCGCTTCGTCAGCCCCTCGCGTTTCCTACCGTCCGTCCTCGGTTTCAACTTCTCGGCTCTTCCACGCCGCTGATGCCTGTCTGACACCTCACAACCTCTTCTTTCCCCCCGGCAAAGTGCGCGTGTCCAGCACTCTGATGTGACCCACCATCATGCAAGTTGCAGCCGAGAGGGTCTGACGATCCACTCAGCGTAGCTCTGCCCTTGACAGTTTGAATCAGCATCTCCGTCCAGCGACGGAGCTGCTTTCCCTTCCAGCATGCCGCTACAAGGTTGGGGTAAATACCCCACAATGGAGACGCCCACTACTTGGTACGATGACGGAGCTACAGGTGGACGTATCAAGGAATATCGCGTGCTCAAGGTATGTCCCAATGCAGAGGCCGCTCTCACTCTGCTCAGGAGAGTCGGCAGCATCGTCAAGCCCATCATGGCGAAGCACGGGTGGCGTGAGTTCTCTAGCGCAAAACGTCAGAGCGACGATTCATGCTGATTGCAGTCATCTCTCTGAATCACCCCACAGATCTGCCCCAATTGGTCGAGTTTCTGCCCCGAGACGAGCGTCTGCTGGGGCTGAACGTGAATCATGGCCAAAAGATCTGTCTAAGGCTTCGACGAAACAAAGATTCCACAGATCTCTTTGCCGAAGACATGGTAGTGGAGACGATGCTACACGAGCTCACACACAACGTCCGAGGACCTCATGACGAGATATTCGACCAGCAGCTTAAGGAGCTTACTGAAGAGTGGTACGAATTGAGAAGGAAAGGTAGAGCTGATGGGGAAGGATTCTTGTCTGCCGGAAGAAGCGTGGGTGGCTCGCGCGCGCCTGGCAGTCGAGCTGATGCGAGAGAGGCTGCAGCGAGAGCTGCCGAAGTGCGCGCTCAGAGAGGTACCGGCGGAAGGCTGGGCGGATCCTTGACTAGCAACGTCATCATGACCGCAGAAGACCGTAGGCGTGTTGCAGCGGAGGTAAGTCTGAAGCGTGGTGTACACTCCCATTAGTGAGGAAGCGCGCTGATCCTGTGCACGCTGTCTGTGGTCAGGCTGCGGATGCGCGTGCTCGCCAAGCGACACGTCACCGTCAAGAAAACCTCAAGCGCGGAGGTGGATGCCCGTCCAGCCAAGGAGAACTCGAAGCAGCATCCGCAGAACAACAAGCTCAAGAAGCTAAAGAGACGTTGAAAGGTGTTGAAGTCGTTACTCTACTAGAGGATGCGCACGAGCAACCTTCAGCTCCAAGCTCGGGGTTTTCGAGCAATGCTGCTCCGGAATCGCAGGGAAATGCCGAACGGCAATTCAAGACTCCGCAATATGTGGAACTGTCCGACGACGAGGAGCCACTAAGACCGCTCAGCACAAATGGCGAAGCGTCCTCACCATCTTTGGTGGCGTCGCAGCGCGCTCCAAGCGGACAACCGAAGTCGGGCGAAATGGTCTTGAATAGAAGACCACCGCAATCCTCACAAGAACGCTGGTCATGTCAAGTCTGCACGCTTCTCAACCATCCGGTATCCAAGTCATGCGACGCGTGTCAGGCTGCTAGACCGGGCGCTGTGCAACTTCGCAAACAGCTCCAACAGTCGAACGCGGATTGGAACTGCGCGCGATGCGGATACCGCATGGCTGGGGATAAGGCCGACTTTTGGGTCTGCGAAATCTGTCATGGTATGAGGCCAAGCTGAGAAGGCTGCCTCAGTCCTTCTCGCCATTCCCCGACGCAGAGCTTGCTGAATGCCTGCAATTTATTTTGCATGCTTACGATACGATCCGAGCTCAGTACCGTTGAGCGCCATGTTGTACAAATACATTTCGATCGTGCTTCTAATTGGCATAGGTGCTTGATCTGAAGCTGAGCAAGACTCTCGGAGGAAAATGAAAAAGACTGTTAAAAGACTTCGACGTCGATCGTAGCCCCACAATCGCACTGTTGCGTACCATCGCCAAGATCTTGCCACTCGTGCGTATGATTCCCTGTCTCCTGCCTCTTTCTAAACGTATCGTTCATCGTTCTCCTTCTGAGTTCCTTCAATCCCTGAGCAAACTTCTTTCCCCTCTTGCGCGCCTTTTCGTCTTCTCTTCTTTGAAATTCGTTGTCCAGACCTTCTTCAGAACCCCACTTGGCGGCGCTGAATGCGTAGGCTTCGACCTGAAAGCGCAAAAACAACATCATGTTACTGTAGGATGCCTTGTGCGGATTCTTCTTGAGCAGGTGCGGGAGCAGCTCCGTATCTTTCAGCTCCGCTAGAGAAAGAGGTTGGCGGTCACATGAAAAGGGTCGAATCACGTCAGTGCAGCAATGAGACGCCTGAGCTTTGTGACTCGGTGCAGACGCACCATCCGTAAGCAAGTAATCCTCTTTGACTTCAGTCTTTGTTAACAAGCTGTACTTTTCTGGCAACCTCTTGCTGCAGCTCCTGCATACCCTAACACCGAACACCCGTCTGAGCTGATCATCGATCTCGAGCGACTGGCATTCCTGACAAGCTTCTTGCCGAGATGGATCGAGCATCATTCCTGCGAAACACGATGGGGTAGAAAGTTTTTAAAAGTGCTCATGTCAGACCCGTCAACGAGGATGCGGGAGGATGTATGCACTCGCATCGATGCTTCCACATCGGTGCGACTCACCGGGCTCCATGTCAGCCTTGATCCTCTCCCGTTCCCTCTCCTTCTCCCTTGCCAGCTCTTCAGCAGTCTTGGAATACTCGTCCCCTTCCTCTACCAAGAAACCACCCTTGGAGTTGTGCAATCTGCTCAAATCGTACTCGATGTAATTCCCCAGCGACTTGTCTCTTGGCAAGGGTGCATTCGAATCATCTCGAGGCTGACCCGCTTGGGCCAGTTGACCCCGCTTGGTGGGCGACACCTTGGTAGCTTCCGAGCCCAGATTGGCATTGCGAGAGTTGGAAGGGATGGAAGATGAGAGATTGGCATTGGGACCTACTGTGGGACCCGAGTAGGATGATCTGCCAGACTCGAGCGATAGAGGACCGTGGGGTCGCTTTCCATTCTCATTCAGCGTGGTTGGGTTCTGTGCTGCTGCTAGACTTTGTAATCGCGCCTTGGCTGCAAGCGGATGGAGCAAGTCGAGAGATCAGCGAAAAGTATCATCAGCTCTGACGCATTGCCACCGCTCAGTTCACCTTTTAGCCGATTCTCTTGCATGATCCTCACATGGTCCGGTGTAACGCTCGGACCCGCTTCGAGGTCGCGAGGTGGCGAAGCAGGAGCCATCTTTGCGGACAAATGCTGAGCTGCTCCACTTGTGGAGTCGGAATCAATGAATGGCGGATGGAGTAAGACACTTGGAGACTGTCCGAATTTGAGTTGTCAGAGATGCGCGTCCGGGAGATTAGGTTGTAAGGTAAGATTCCACGATAGCGATTGGCGGGAAAGATTCTGGTGATGCGAATGGACGAGGAGTCACGAGTATAAGAGAGTGAGACGTCGGATGCGAACGTCAAGCGGTTTCTGGTCACATGCGAAGTCATGAGTGGCATGTCTCCACGGCTGTCACGTGCAGGCGCTGATCACTGCTTACTGGTGATTTGTGACTCGTGACTCGTGACGACTCCAAACTTGATCAGCACTCGGATCCCTGGTCCGCTTCTCGCGAGGCA